AGGGGCTGTGGCCAGCCTGAAAACAGCCCTCAGCCCCTCACCCAGGCTGGCCAGGCACCCCAGCGGAATGCCCCCACACACCCTGAAGAGGCTGTGGCCAGCCTGCAAATGACCATCAGCCCCTCACCCAGGCTGGCCAGGCACCCCAGCGGACCCCCACACACACCCAGAAGGGGCTGTGGCCAGCCTGCAAACAGCCATCAACCCCTCACCCAGGCTGGCCAAGCACCCCAGTGGGACCCCCGCCACCCTGAAGTGGCTGTGGCCAGCCTGAAAACAGCTATCAGCCCCTCACCCAGGCTGGCCAGGCACCCCAGTGGGGACCCCCACCCTGAAGGGGTATGGCCAGCCTGAAAACGGCCCTCAGCCCCTCACCCAGGCTGGCCAGGCACCCCAGCGGGACCCCCACCCTGATCTGGGACACCCTTCAGGGCAAACCAGCCAGCCCCCACCCATGCACCAGGCCTCTATCCTATATAATAAAAGGGGTAATATGCAAATTGACCCTAACAGCAGAACGACTGGGGGATGACTGGTCACTATGATACACACTGACCACCAGGGGGCAGATGCTCAATGCAGGAGCTGCCCCCTGGTGGTCAGTGTGCTCCCACAGGGGGAGCTCTGCTCAGCCACAAGCCAGGCTGATGGCTGCCAGTACAGCAGTGGTGGTGGGAGCCTCTACCGCCTCCTCAGCAGCACTAAGGATGTCCAACTGCAGCTTAGGCCTGCTCCCCGCTGGCAAGTGGACATCCCCCGAGGGCTCCCGGGCTGCCAGAGGGATGTCTGACTGCCAGCTTAGGCCCAATCCCCCCGGGGAGCAGGCCTAAGCCAGCAGGTGGACATCCCTCGAGGGGTGCCAGACTGCGAGAGGGCACAGGCCGGGCTGAGGGACGCCCCCGAGTGCACAAATTTTTGTGCACCGGGCCTCTAGTGTGTGTGTGTGTGTGTATTTGCTAGCTTTAGGTGAATTTGCTGAAAATCAGCTTTTTAAAAAAAATATATTCTTATTGATTTCAGAGAGGAAGGGAGAGGGAGAGAGAGATAGAAACATCAATGATGAGAGGGAATCATTGATCAGAAACTGGGGATCAAGCTTGCAACCCGGGCATGTGCCCTGACCCAGAATTGAACCGTGACCTTCTGGTTCATAGGTCACTGCTCAACCGCTGAGCCACTGGGCTGGGCTGAAAACCACCCAGCTCAACGCCTGATGATTACTCACCGCCTTAGCTCAACCTTGCCCAGCCCACCTGCAGGGTGACTGGGCGCTGGCCTGCTTCCATGATCTTCGGAGGCCTTGCTGGTGCCGGGCGCTGTGCTGAGTACGAGGATATGTGGGCTGAACAAAAGTTGAGACACTGCCTTCACGGAAATTCCAGTCTGTGGGGGACATGGAGCGAAGGAAAATAATCAACAAATAGTCACACAAACAAATACATGATTGCAGTTTGGGACAGGTTCCTGGAAGTAAGGAAGGTATTATTTGGGGGTGGAGTGGTCAGAGAAGCTGAGATATGAACAGGAGCAAGCGTCACTGTGGTGCAGAATAGATGGAAAAGTATTTCAGGGAGAGAATCGCAAAGGGCCCGAGGGAGGAACTTGACCGGGCCATGCCAGGAATGCCAGTGGCCTGGAATGCAGTGAAAATGTTGGAAAGTGGCACAAAATGAGGCTGAAGACGCAGCCAGACCATTCGCGACCTCAAAGACACGGGGGGTTTCCCTCCGAGCAGTGGGAGCCGCTGCAGGTGTCCATGGGGGAGGGACACACTCGGGTTCTCATTGCTCAGAGGCCCCGCGGGCAGCTTTTTGGAGAAGGTGTCGTGGAAGGTGGGATGGAGGCAGGGGGAGCAGGCAGACAGCAATGACGGGGACCCCCGGGAAAGAGTTGGCACCTGGGCTAGGATGAGGCATGGGGGGGGATATTAGGGCTTGCAAAAATTAAAATTTAAAAAGCATGTATCTGCCACACTGAAACTTAACCAAAATAATAGTAATAATAATGATGGTAATTTTAATATATTTTATTGATTTTTTACAGAGAGGAAGGGAGAGGGATAGAGAGTTAGAAACATCGATGAGAGAGAAACATCGATCAGCTGCCTCCTGCACACCCTCCAACTGGGGATATGCCCGCAACCAAGGTACATGCCCTTGACCGGAATCGAACCTGGGACCCTTGAGTCCGCAGGCCGACGCTCCATCCACTGAGCCAAACCGGCCAGGGCAATGATGGTAATTTTAAAGATTTTGTTCTCATAGGTATAGACAAGGTTTAAGACTCCTTGCTCCACATGATCAGGACTGAGAAGCTGCTACTCCTAACGACAGCAAGGACACCACGTCCACACACGCTGCCTGTGTGCCAGGCCCCTCTGCTCCACCAGCCAGCGTCGCCCTCGCTTGTGTTTTCCATTTGCCTCCATGGTTCTCCTCGGGGGTCGCCTCCTGCTGAAGGATGAAGAACGAGGGAGGAACGAGGTAGACACGGTGCCTTAGGAGCAGTGAACACTGCAGTGGAGGCTCATGGGGGGCGGGGTCGAGAGGAAGGACTCAGGGGCTCATCTCAGCTCCCTTCCATGAGACCATCTTCATCTGGGGAGCCGAGGCCAGAGACATGAACTGGCTGTGGAAGGACATGCGGCTGAGCCGCAGCGGCGGTCAGGGCCCCTGGGCTGCGGGGGAGCTGGAGGTCAGGCCGAGCCTCTGAGCGGCCCATCTCCGGGAGCCGCCGTCACCGTGACTCAGCTCCTCTGGCTTGGAGCCGCCATCACCATGACTCAGCCCCTCTGGCTCCAGCCTTGCATCCCGCCTTCCCCTCAGCAAGCTCCCTGCAGAGCCGGGTGGCCTCACGGAGGCCCACGCTCCCCTGGGCGAGTCTGCGGCAGGGCGCCCGGCTGGCCACCTCACCAAGTCTACAGCAGAGGGCAAGGGTCATCTCCGAAGATAACCAGGCGCCACCCCCAGAAAAGTGGGAGCAGGAGGTGGGGGGAGGGTTCCAGGTTGGCACAAGAGGCCTGGTCCACCCACTGCTCCGCTCCATCTCGGAGGGTGCCCCATCTTCTGCCCACCGCCCAGCCCAGGCACCCAGGCACCCAGGCACCAGAGCCTGTCAATGTGGCCTTCTGCTATTCCGGAATGTTCCCACTCTGCCCGTCTACACTGGGCCTTGTCTCCACCACTGGAGGCTGCAGCTTTCAGTCTGGACCTCATTGGGAGGGATTCCCTAAAAACAGAAACCTCAGGTATAGGCCCCTGCATGCTCCCGCACCCCAAGCCCGGCCCAGCCCACAGACCTCCTGAGCCCGCTGCCCCAGAGCCTCCTCCTCCCTGGCCTCCTGCCAATAACGCGTACACACCACACGTTAATAACTGTGACATATGACTTCGGTCCCTGCCTCTGTGCCTTTGCTTTTGCTGTTCCAAGCCCTGCTTCTGTTCCTTGTCTAAATACCTCTCATTTAGTTCAGACGCTGTTTCCCCTCCACGGGCCCTTATCCGAGTCCCTGTAGCACCTTATGTACATTCCAATTGCTACAGTTTCCATAGCGTTTTGAAATTTTCTGTTTACTCCATCAATCAACAAATATTTATTGAGCACCTACTACGTGCCAGACACTGTTCTAGGTGCTAAGATTGTAGCAGGTCACAAGTCAGATTCTAGTTGGGGGCTGACAGCAAACGATGGAGAGAACTAGCATGTCAGAGGTGGGAGGTGCTCTGGAGGGAGAGGACGGAGAGCCATGTCAGGCGGTGCTGTTTCACGTCACATTTGAGCAGAGCTGGGTGGTGGGTGCACGGGAGGGGCATTCCAGGTGGAGGGCGGGGAGAGGGGCAAGAACACAAGCTGGGGCTTTGGGCCGTCAGGGAAACGCAGTGAAAGGGGAAGGAGGCCGGGGACACTGGCTGCGAGTGAGGGTGGACGGAAGTGCCTGGGAGGAGGAGGCCAAGAGTCCATGGGGCAGGGGGGGGGGGGTGTGAGCAGTGAGTGGCTGTTTTCCCAGATCTGCCGCCATCCCCTGCATGGCACAGAGCAGACGCCCAGCAAACGCCTGGTAAATGGTGGAGCTAGGGCAGTGATGGCGAACTTTTTGAGCTCGGCGTGTCAGCATTTTGAAAAACCCTAACTTAACTCTGGTGCCGTGTCACATATAGAAATTTTTTGATATTTGCAACCAGAGTAAAACAAAGACTTATATTTTTGATATTTATTTTATATATTTAAATGCCATTTAACAAAGAAAAA